AGAATTCCACCCAGTTAAAAGTTTATGATCTTGTCCCCACACCACAATCCATCACATGGTCCAATCTCCTTCTTCCATGCTGGCGTCTCCCCCCAGCTGCTTCCACTCAGGTGTAAAAGTGCGGAGACAAAAGATGACCTTGGCTTCTAGTAAAGAATGAAAATACATTCCACAATCCTACTCCTATCTATTCCCCCCTCCCATCGACAATAATAATGAAACAGCATATTGAAATAAGAGACAGTGTGGCAGGCCAAGATTCTAAAAGGAATATAATTGCAGGCCTGACAATAGATAGCGGTTAACTTTCTTAAAAAAATATATCATCTCATTCCCAGCAGAAGCTTTTCCCCAACACTCTGCCTGAGTTTTATGGGCTGCTTTTCCAACACCACTACCCTAGGCTGCATTTCATTTTTTCAACTTTATAATTTCACTCTCAACTTGTTATGTTTATTTGCTTCATTACAAAATTAGCAGATAACCAAGGTGAGCTCTTGCAACACCTATCCCACTCTGACAAACATACTGTAGGAAACATACAGCCGTAATTTACTGAGACTGCTGAGAAATAGCAAAACTGAGTAAGCCAGTAAACCACATCCCTTCGTGCTCTGATATCTACTTCATGGTGTAATCAGGCAGCCGCAGGGCCCACCTGGGCTGAAATGGGAGCTTTCATTTGCAGTGTGGTTGTCATCTTGAAAGCAGTGATTAGTTTAATATCATTGCCAATTACGTAAGGGATATATCATATTCTAAGGTGTGGTGTGCTGGGAAAGTACTACATGTACTAGAAAAACAAGCAGTCACAAGCAGCCCCAGACATGTTACTATCACTTGTTTTTTTATGATCCTTTCCTCTCCTCTTCTCCTTGGTCTGAAACAGCATATTATAGGATTTTAAAATATATATATTATTTTGTCCTCTTGTTTTAAGGATGTCGACTGGAAACTCAGTAACCTTGCCAAATGGTTTCTGGCCAAAAACTATTTTATAATTTAGCAGTGACAAAATTTTGAGAAATTATTTTTCCAACTATGACAGGAAACAGGCACTTCATCGGCAGTTACACTAATCCTGGCAGGAAATAAATAATTAACACATCTAACCATCTTGTCCAACAGCTTCTCCCTGGGAAATATTTTCATTTATTAGTGAACATTCATACTGTGTTCCATTTGGCTAAAACTGTAACAGGAACACTATGGCTGAAAATAACTGCTGTGGATGTCACTTCCACTTTCTCTCTTAATTTCATCAGCTTATTAGCCTGACGAAAGGCTAAATCACATTCAAAAACTAAATAACTTCACGCAGAAACCAACACTCTTAGCCACTGTTTCTAAGCCATGGCAACTTTAAGATGTCTGTACTTCTTAAGTTGGCTGGGAAATTCTGGGAGCTGAAGTCCACACAAGTTGAATCCATGGTTGAGAAAGACTGCACTGGTCCAACAGTGCCAAATAGCAATAGTAATAGCACTTATATACCACTTCATAGTGCTTGACAGTTCTCTCTCTGAACTTTACAGTCAGCATATTGCCTCCAAAAGTCTGTGTCCTCATTTTACCGACCGCGGAAGGATGAAAAGATGAGTCAGACTTGAGATGGTGAGGCTCAAACTGCTTGCAGTCGGCAGAATTAGCCTGCCGTAATGCATTCTAACCACTGTGCCATCATGGCTCTTAACTACTTTCTCATTTCATGTCAGTGTCTTTGGCCTAAAAAAAATCCTAGTTTTTCATCTCATTACCTTCAATGTTTTTTTTAACCTTAGATTAGAGCTGTAAGATACAGTAGGCAATATAAGGAGAGCAGGCTGGAGCTCAACTCCTGACTTCCAGTGTGTGTGTGGGAAAACAGTAGTGATGCATGGATCACAATCAATGGCTTAATTTGGGAGTCTCTTTTCCCCCCCCCAGAATTCTATGGATGAGAGTGGTTTTTTTGCTTCCACTTTAAAAAAGTCTTGAAATTACCATTTTCTAACTGAATTTGGGCCAAAAAGGACCCTCAAAGGTCTTGAGAATTGAATGAGTTTAAGGGGACAGAGGGTTCATATTTTCACTGTTATTATTGGAATGAAATGTGCAATTTCCTGCCAACATTTGGGAATTCAGTCTTAGATCTAGAAGCAAAAATTTGCTCGTGAAACCTTTCCTTGGGAATTAACGGAGGCAGGAAAAGCCAGAAACAGCAACTAGCTGTAGGTCTTGAATAACACGTAATAAAAGAACTGCCTACAATCCTTAGCCACCTCATACTTAATTTCACTCAAAACATTCACTGAAATCCTTTTTGAACATGTTTCAATTTGCTTTGCACTATAACCTGTTTTTAAAAATGTAGTTTTCAGCCCAGTCCAATCCTGTTCCATTGAAATAAACGTGTCACGTTCTGAGCGTGCTCAATAAAGTTGTGTTTAAGCGGGAGTTATTCGACAGCTGATTGGCTTACCATCTGACAGCTCCGAATATAAAAAAGGAGCTGTCAGATGAGAAGCCGCTGTTCCTGTCTGAAGCCGGTTCCACACTGTTAGCTTGTTACATTGAGGAATAAACTCGTTAGCCTCTCTATTCCTGTCTCCGCCTCCGCCATAGCCCAGGGTCCTAGTACACAATAAAACGGAAATGATATATACAAGCAACGGACTCAAACAGGGATAAACTGGAACTGATTCAGAATGTAGATCCATCCCTCTCACCAGTCCAAGCAGTTAGAATGATGGCAGAATAGCCACCGTTACTATTCTTAGCCTTGTAGCTCTGCCATGAGCATGTATAAAAACCAACAGAATTTAATGTGCTCACTGCAAAACCAGTTGTTCATGTCCCTTATGTACTGTGACCTGGATACATTTTACTGACCTAAATTCTGACATTGATCAGTTCTAATATATTTGTTGTTGTTAGTTTCAAAGTCATTTCTTACCCATCGCAACCCCATGGGTGTTCCTCCAGGCCTTCCTGTTCTCTATCATTCTTTGGAGTCTATTTAAACTCACGCCTACTGCTTCAGTGACTCCATCCAGCCACCTCATTCTTTGTCGTCCCTTTCTTTTTTTGCCCTCCATCTTTCTCAGCATTAGGCTCTTCTCCAGTGAGTCCTTCTCTCATTAGGTGGCCAAAGCATTTGAGTTTCATCTTCGGGATCTGGCTTTCTAAAGAGCAGTCAGGGTTGATCCCCTTTAGGACTGACCGGTTTGATCCCCTTGCAGTCCAAGGGACTCACAGGAGTCTTCTCCAGCACCATAGTTCAAAGGCCTCAATTTTTTGGCACTCCTAATCAATTTAGGATAATACTGTATATGATCAATCAATGCATTATTTCTCTTTTGTTATCTGAAAGCAGATCCACAAATCATTTGCATATAACTCAAGAAAATTTAGCAACAACTATCTCATCAAATTGTAGTCCATAATTAATGTAACTTTATTAGATGATTTAAAAAAACACCTGCCCTCTGTATGGCAAGGATGTCAAATTCAAGGCCCAGGGGTCAAATCCGGGGGTGCTTAAATCTGACTCACAGGGCCACCCTAGAAATGATGAAAGACTGGCCCGCGGTACCACTCTGCCAGCAGACAGTTGCAGGAGGCCATTGCAGCCAAAAACGGAGTTCGCGAGGACCGTGTATGGCTCTCCCAAAGTCCATTTTTACTGAAAGAGGATTGCAGGAGGCTGTCGCAGCTAAAAATGGGAGTTCAGAAGCCCGTTTTCACTGGCAAGTGCTTGGGGCTGCCACAAGTTCCCCCAACATGAATGATGTTGAGCTGGACACGCACGCCCCAGCTCCTGAGGTCAAACACAATCCTGGTGCAGCCCACAATGAAATCGAGTTTGACACCCCTGCTGTACGAATAAATCATATTTTATCTCCGGTGGCAGCACCATCTGAGAAGTTATTGTAGCTACAGTATAAGATTGTACAAATTAATATGTTGCTTTAATATTTAAAAGCACACCTAGAGATTTGGGAAACTGGCACAAGTCAGCACTGACCTAACAAATATTCATTAAATGGATAAACACTTTTTCAATTTCAATTTGATTTAATGCAGTCGAAAACAAGTACAGATAATAGATGAATAAAATTTAGAAAAGAGTTTAAGTACTTTTGTAAAATAACTAGTATCTAATATATAAAATATAAAATTCAGGATGTAGCCTATATTAAATAATATAAACACTGAATTATAAATATGGTATCAAAAATTGGATCAGAGTAAAAAATCTATTAATATCAACCAAAGTAGTAAATATTTTAAATTTAAATGAATTACAGTAAAACCTTGGCAATTTAACATTAATTTAACATTTAAATACCACCAATGCATTATAAATCTTTTAATTCAGAGGCAGTTTTTTCATAAGTAGTCAGCTTGATTAAGTCTCCTGCTTGCTTCCTTTTTTAAAAAAACCCAAGAAAATAATTAGTTCTCATTTTAAAATTTTATTAGGAAAAATATAAATATATCCCTGACAAACCATATTCTTTTCTCAGGAATATTGTAAATTCACAGGAAAGATCAGTAGTGAATAACTTATGAAAAGACAGATTGTCCCTCAGTTAAAAAAACAATCCCAATTATGCCAGCAAACATATATATCTATAGATATATATATCTATGATCTATCAGCTAAATTAATATCAATAAGCATCCCCAAAAGATAGAAGAAAATCTAAAAAGGGAATAGAGACAAGCTGTTAATATTAAAGATTCATTTTTTACCAAAATGAATTACTTATCAAACAGGATCTGTTTTAATGAGTAACTGAAGCAGGTGGGGGAAGGACGCAGATATGCCTCACTTGAAAATCAGATTATTATTCTGTAGCTACCCTCTTTTGGCACTTGATCAGACATTTTGCTTTTTCCTGTAAGTTCTTGTCCAGAATGCAAGTTTATATTAACTCTATGCTTCTTGATACTCTTCTTCTTTTTATGTAGTTTTCTACTTGCAAATCGAAGTTTTTGAGGGAGTTTCGCTTTGAGCTATTTAATGGAGATAAATCATATTCCCGAGAAAGGTTTTTTAAAACATGTTGATTGGCCACTCTGTGAATTTGATCAGTCTGCGATGCTGTTGAGAAGACATCATTGTCCATGGCTGGTTGAGGAAGACAGTCACTCTTCTCACAGGAAGAAGGAACTCTTTCTAGTGTTGAGATTGTATCCTTTCTGTCATTGGACAAAGTGCATGTGCATGCTAATGTTACAGCTATGTGACACGTTTTACATTCATTGTCAGCATTGTCTTTCAGCTGATGTTTGGTGGAAAACATGTTTTCTGACTCTACCACAGTAAGTACTCTGTCATTCTCAAGGTTTGATGGTTCTATTATTGTTTCTTCCTGTTTCTCTTCACACTGTGGAAACTGAGCACACTGTTCTTGTCTAGAATAAGGCACAGTTCCGTTTGTGGATTCTGGGCAGCACTGCTCAGAAATTTCTGTTTCAGGGAAATATTCATTCTGTTCAGTACATTTTTCAGGAGAGTCAAAGCAAACTCCCCTTGGAGCATGGTGAGAGATTGACAACTTGAGTAGTTTTATCGGCCTTTCTTTCTTCTTGTTTTTCATGGCTTGTTTAACTGATTCTGGAATTTTAGATTCCAGAAGTGAATAGTTTTCAGAGCTCAAGTATTGTTGAAAATATACTTGACATAGATCATTCTTCACTACAGGAATAATGGAACAGGGCTTTAGCCAAGCTACAAATTCTAATAGTTCTTGGAAAGATGAGTGGTCAGAATAAGGAACAACATGCATATTAGGGTGACTGATTTTCACTGGTCTGCTGGTAGGGAGAATAGCTATGGTTGGATGACTCCGATTCCAGTTGGTTATTGTTTCTTTGCAGATTTCTGAAAAATCCACAGCATGAATCCATCCAGCTCCTTTTTCAGAAGTGAAAACATCCTCAATCTCCAACAGCTGCAAAAGCTCCAACTTCTGGTGACTCACCACAATCCATGTATGAAATTCTTGGGCCAGTTCCACCAAAAGTGACTCCTTTCCCAAGCTATATGTACCTAAAAGATGACAAATACCTGTTAGCATTTCAAAAGCCAGGTGGCCTAACATTAATCTTCAGAATGGAATGTATTTAACTATTGAAATAATTGTGGCTTAGCAGTGGAAGACTTCAAAAACCTGAAACATTACACCTTCCCTTGGTGGAGTCCTTCTCCAGTGTCTAAAGAATCACCAGGCAATCTTATACAACTGTGTTTTTCCAGTGTGTGTGTGTGCATGTGTGTGTGTACACATACATACATACATACATACATACATACATACATACATACATACACCATCTTCCACATAGATGAGGTCAATTTTCACACTTAAACATAAGGATTCTCATATCAGTTAACAAGCTCCATGACTTCTTTCCATTCAATTAGGTCTGAAAAATTAGAACTTCTTACCGATCTTCACCCGATGATCAGGATGGTCCCTAATCAGCTTTTTAATTTGCTCAGTGGCCTGTTCCCGGGATGGTAAGATAGTATTAGGGCGACAGTTAGTATTATCCAGATAGAGGCAATTGATAAGCTTTGAGTTCCTTAGAACTGGATCTTGCTGCATGTTAGGAGCGTAACGAAAATCACCTGGTAAGGCACAAATATAATGGGACTGTCAGGGGGAAATGTTCCTGGAAGCAAAATCCCAAATTAATTAAGAATGAATCTCTTTAATTACTCTACAAGGAAGCAATCTTACTAAAGCATTTTCCTGCTTCCTTTATAAGGAAGCAATCTTCTAAAGCATTTTTCAATGTGAAATTCATATTTCATTGAGTCTTGCAAAATTACTGGTAATAGTTTACAGCTAACTACTGAATGTGTATTGATACAAAGTGGGTTTAAAATTTCTTCTACATCCAGGCCTGAACCTCAGACATTATACCATATCATTCTGCTGTTAAAGAAACCAGAGGCCATACTTTTAGAGCTTGCTTTTACAGGTAGCATCACAGAACAAAAAACAAAAAAAGCAGCTGAGAACACATGATTGTCATGATTCAGACATACTACAAGGAGAAATCATGTAGATTCCATGGAACTATCAAGGATAAAACCATAGCTACACCGATACTAGCAGAGGCAAGCTGCTGTACAAGCAAACTACCAATCTTGAGTACAACAAGGACTTCATAGTTCAACAGTTGGCAACATATATTCTCTTCTATTGGAAGGGCAATCATAGTTGCAATCTAAAATGTACTTTACCCCGTTCTCAAAAAACAAGGAAGTTCATACCTGTGTAGAGGATGACACCAAAGTACCCTTCAAAAAGGAACATGACAGATCCAGGGCAATGGTTAGCATCTATCAAGGTTACTGTCATGGTCTCTTTGCCAATATCATCCAAAGCCACAACATGGCTAGCTCCCACTTCCAAAGGACGGATCAATTGCTTAGCTACCTAGAATCCAAACAAAGATATAGTAGAATCAATGTGAGACTTTGCCAAAAAGATAAGAAAATGAATAGTCTTCTAAATGATACTGAACTACATATTCCAGCATTATGAACACTAGAAAGGTTTGTCAGAATGTGTATTTCAGCACCACCAGGAGAACAAAAGCTAACAAACATTAGAACAATTACGTATACTTAAGTACCTTCAGCCTGAGATGTAGAATTTGACCTGTAACAGGCGAGCAATAAACAGGTTGGTTCCAGGTGCTGGAAAGCCCCACAGTGTGATCACTGTGCATATGAGAAAGAAAGAACAAGCGAGCCTGCCTAGCTTTCCTGATATTCCAAAAATCTACTGCAATGGGTGTGCCTGCAATCAGAGTCCCATTCATCACTTCAGCTCCTATAAAAACAATGAATTTGAATATTTAAAAAAAAAACTCAGAAAAGTTAAGATGAACTCATATATCAATAAAATTCCAAACTTATAAAAAAGGGGATATGTGGGAATACTGGTATCCAAAATGATATCCACCGGCAGCAAGAATTTTATTTAGCTTAAGGTAATGTAGCAATATAGTACAGTATGTTGTTTTACTTACTTAGCACTTGTGATTTCAATTACTGTGTTTCATGACACATTTGCAGATTGACACAAGGGCTGTATCTGTGCAATACATACCAGATGTTCCCCACTTATTCCAGATGCCTATTGTTACATAAACTCTACAATTATTTGTAGTTTATTATTGGAATGCAAGGGACATAGTGGCTCAGTGGCTAAGACACTGAGCTTGTCAATCAGAAAGGTCGGCAGTTTGGTGATTCGAATCCCTAATGGACCATAACGGAGTGAACTCCCATTACTTGTCCCAGCTTCTGCCAACCTAGCAGTTCGAAAGCACGTAAAAATGCAAGTAGAAAAATAGGAACCACCTTTGGTGGGAAGGTAAAAGTGTTTTGTGTGCCTTCAGCATTTAGTCATGCCGGCTGCCACATGACCACGGAGATGGCTTCAGACAGCGCTTGCTCTTCAGCTTTGTAATGGAGATGAGCACCGCCCCCTAGAGTCAGTAACGACTAGCACACATGTGCGAGGGGAATCTTTACTTTTACTTTACTGGAATGCAATGTAATAACTGTGGACCCTGCAACATTGTTTGTGTGCATATGCCTTCAAGTCAGACTTAACTCCAGACAACTGTCTGAAATAGTTCTGCAGTTTTCTTGGCAAGGTTTTTCAGAAGTGGTTGGTCCTTGTCTCCTTCCTAGAGCTAGAGAAGGTGACTGGCCCAGGCTTCCTGCCTAAGGTGGCACCGAAACTCACTATCACCTAATGCTCATCTTAAAGGAAACGAAACTAAACTAAACTTCTCCCTACAGCATTCTTCTTCTATGAATTATTAGTAGTCTTTGAAATGAAATCCAGGAAATCCCCAAGTTGTTCTTTTTAATGAAAAATGACCTAAATGTCGTGTGAAAGTGAAATCTTATGACATTTTAGCATTCCAGTTAAAGAGATTTAGAGAAGGTGGTCCAGCGCAGAAAACGGTCCGGCACTTTACAACTACTGTTTCATGATTCGGTGGGCAAAGAAGTTGTTCGGGAGTCCAATTCACCCTCGTCCCTCCCCGAAATCATTTTGCAGAGAACAGAAAACTTACTGTGGTCTGTCGTAGGCTTGTAGCACAGGAAAGAGAAAGCAGCAGAAATGGATGGTTCGGGAAGCGTCCCAATCGGGGTAATGAGAGATCTCTTTCGATCTTGTCACTTTTCAACTATATTTCACATGGACTGCTAATTCTTCCCGCCAGCGAATGGAAGAATTCAAACACCCACTCACCCGTAAGCCATCAGGACAAACGAGCATGCGCGGTGCTTTCCAGGAGAAGGAAAAAAAAAATTGGTCAAGCCGCCGGCTTGAGAAAGCGAACCAAGACACTAGGCGCATGCCCATTATCGACCTGCCGGGAAGCTCATGCGCAGTATAGTCATAACGCGAGGGTTCCCGTCGTGTGCTCTCGGCCGGTGTTTCTTGGTAGCTTTAAGATGTGTGGACTTCAGCTCCCAGAATTCCTCAGTTGAAGTCCATACATTTTAAAGCTGCTCGGAAAATAGACGTGCAAAAATTGAGATGGATATGTAATTCCATAGTCAGAAAACAAAACTTCCAGGATACCTTGAACACCTCTTTTTTTTCTTGAGAAGACTGTTATAGAGACAGAAACTAAGAAATCAGACAAATCCGGTTTTTTTGCGGAACTGTGACTAGGCAACAGTAACCTTTACTTCTTCAAGCATAAGGTAGCAGCGTAGTGTTTTGTCATGGGAGTAAACCAGGATTCTTTTGCATTGCGAACAAAATGGAGCAGATGTTTTCGCTTTCGGGGACGGGGGCGGGGGGGAGGTAAAAAAACAACAACGAGGTTGCGGCTGTTCGTGATAACCTTCCCGTGTACTCCGCAGTAGATTCATAATAATTCATATGATGATATTTCGGGCTACTATTGAATATTAGGATCCTGCAGAACATCTGAAGTTTCTTCTGCTTTCTGATCCTACCTGCACCGGGATATAAAGCTAAAAATCCCGGAAATGTTTTACGATGAAGATAATGTAAACCTTTATGTGACTGCCAAACAAATAAATTGCCGGGCATTTTATTGCCAGTTGTCATTTAATTTGAGGAACGAAAAATTGTATTACGGTTTTTAAAAGATTTTCATGAGGATTGTCTTCCTCCACTTAGAGCTCGTATTTCCGAGAACTTGATTCCCTTCCAAGAAGGAGGTAAATAGCAAAATTGAACTTTCGAGTGCATTCACTCCATTTATTCTCTAGCTGCCTGATTATAAAGAAGTTGTAATGCTTTGGTTTCTGCTCTCTGTCAGGCCAAAGCATTGGTGGCTATCCTTATAAACAAATCATAAATGGAGGTCTAAAATATTTATAAATAATTGTAGTTTCATACCAATAATGGTATACAATGACTGTGTTCATTATACAGTTCAACCCTCATTTTTGTCTTGGCAGATAACTTTAAATTTTTAGCCTTCTATCCTCCCTCCCTCTTTCCCTTTGTACCTACCTAGCAGTATCTTGTGTCATGAAGTGTTCTTAGAATTTAACAGCTTACAGTACATGTTGTCATGGGCCCAAATTTTGTTCAAGCGACTGTGGGGATGCTGCTAGAGTCATAAATGCAAGGACCGGTTGTAAATCACTTTTTCAGTGCTGTTGTAACTTTGATCAGGCAATAAACAAATAGTTGTAATAGTTGTAGTCGAGAACTACCTGTGTTGTATCACCTACCTATGGATTTAATATCTCTTAGAACTATTCATCTGATGAAAAGTGATTCACCAAAAAGTGATAATTTGTTAATTTAGTTTTGCTTATATATTTTATTGTACAATAAAGTCTAGCATAGCTACTATTTATAAACCAAGTGTAATTAGTTATTTGTTATTTGCTATTCTTGTCTTATTGTTTTCTTGCCTTTCTATTATATCTTTTATATTTACTGTATTTTATTTGCTGTAAGTTCCTTGAAACAGAGACTTGTCAACTTGTTGCTTGCTAAAATGCCATGCTTGTTGCTGTCAAATGAGAGCCAGTTTGGTCTAATCAGTTAAGGCGCCAGACTGGAAAGCAGGTGGTTGTGAGTTAAAAGTTCCACCTTAGCCATGAAATGTCTAAGTCATTCACCCAGCTGGGTGACTTTGGGCCTGTCACTCTAAGCCCAATCAACCTCATAGGGTTGTTGTTTTTGTGGGGAGAATAGGAGCAGGAAAGTGTGTTGAGTATGTTCACCACCATGAGTTATTTGTAAACATAACAAAGGCAGGATACAAATCAATAAAAATATCTGTTCTAAGAAAAGATAAAAAACAAGAGATTTAAAGGAGCAGAATGGAATACAAATTATATGCTCAGTTTTGTTTATATGACTGTATCTGCCCTTTGTGACTGCTATCCTAGGTTCTTCAACAATCAGAATTGCCAAAGGGTTTAAAATCTCAACAATGCCGTACCTTGGTTCAGAGGATACAGTGAAGGAGCTGAAGAGAGCCCTGTCCAACCCTCATGTGCAAACTGACCATCTTCGCTATAGAAATGTTATCCAACGAGTGATCAGGTCTGTGCTGAGATGCTTATGCCACAGTTTTCTTGCATTTTGTCAATTATAATTGGTCTTCTGAAATCCTGGAAGTTTTTTAATTCATACATGCAAAAATTGTTTTAGATAGTTGTTTATATAATATTAAAACAAAATTAACTATCAGGAAAGTTTAAAAGTAATAAATAATGCAAATATATAATGTTTATTCATTTTAGCAATAATATGTTCATTATTAGTACATCATTCTATTTTAAACTCAGTTTTACTTTGTTCAAAACCATAATTCATTTTATCCACTATAAACCTTTCTCTAATTGTATATAAGAAAACCATTGACAAGAATATTCTTTTGTTATCATATTTTTGAATTTCATTTTGCAATCCTTTTGAGAACATTCTGGTACATCTCAGGAGGTTAAATTTAGTTTTCAAGAGTGCAAAAACATTAGAGTGCAAAACACTAGTGCTGTGGATCTTACCCAATTATAAATAAAATAATGTAATCTTATAATCTATAGATGAAAATTCATATATAATTTTCATTTTTGCAACTGTGATTTAAAAAAAAACTTTCTGCTACCCTTAAACAAGTCAAAGAAATAATATCCATAGATATTGAAATATGCTCTCATTAATTGAAAATTCTATTTAACCTTTCTTCTAGTTTGTCAAATTTTATTAATTGTTGTTAATATATTTCAAAGCATAAAAAGTATTATGTAAACATCATATTATTATCAGTATGCAATAGTTTAATTGTGAATTCTCTTCTTACATTCTTCTATCAAAACTGCAGCTAATAAATGCTTTGTAAGAGAACTGTTGAAATGTTCTTATTTGACCTGGTGTTGAATAGCTAGGCTTAAGAATGTATATAAATTGACACATTTATATTTCATATTTATTGATTTATCTTTTCTGATACTTTGGAAAGTGGAGGATCACAGTGAAATAAAGTATGCCAAGTATGTAATATGTAGTCAAAAGTAAGCATAAAATGCTCCAGATGAAGAATTTAGATTTGTTGGTGTAGGGCTTAATTTGACACTGTTTACAGTTAACCTACTGCAATGAGGTGGGGTACAAATAAAACTTAGAATGTATTAGCACAGGTATATACACACATTCTGGGTGACAACTTGTTATGACTTATGCATTGACTATAATAATTACTAAGTTATATAATATTTTGAGTTTTCGAGTAGATTAATACCGGTATGAAATCTCTGTTGCTGTATCTACATTTTTTTTATCTTTTTCTTGCAGACATATGACCCAAGGTGTAGATGTATCCAGTGTTTTTATGGAGATGGTTAAAGCAAGTGCTACCATAGACATTGTCCAAAAGAAGCTAGTGTACTTGTATATGTGTACATATGCTCCTTTGAAGCCTGATCTAGCTCTTTTAGCTATCAATACTCTGTGCAAAGACTGTTCAGACCCCAACCCTATGGTTAGAGGTCTGGCCCTGCGCAGCATGTGCAGTCTGAGGTAAGAAAATGTACTGCTTACTTTGACCTTCACAGTCATCTCGTATTAGACAAGGTATACACTCAAATACAGGAGTTATTGTTGAAAAACTCATGACCTCAACTATAAGCTTTCAGTTCTTTTTTCTTGAATCTAACTCTTATCAGTAAGACATCACTACAAATAGCACTTCCCTTCTAGTTCCGGGACACATTTGAGGAGCTTTCGATTTTGCTGGCCAAGGTTGACTTTCCCTTGAATTATGTAGATTGTTATTTTGCTATCATACCTATGGAACCTAGTGCAGATATTTAGTAATATTTAATTGGAATTATTGACGGCATCCATTTAGTGTTTTATGAGAATTTATAGATTGATAACCTACAATGTTCCTAGGATGCCTGGCATACAAGAATATATTCAGCAGCCAATCCTGAATGGTCTGCGAGACAAAGCTTCTTATGTAAGGAGAGTAGCTGTCCTTGGATGTGCAAAGATGCAGAAACTTCAAGGAGACTGTGAAGTGGGTAAATAAACATATTTTTTCCATTCTCTTTTCAATTCCGCCTCTTCATTCATATTAGAATAAATATGTGGCATATAATTTTGATGTTATAAAGAGAAAGTTGGCCATGAATGTTGTAACAGTTTTACTCTGTGTGTAGGGAGCGGGGATCTCCCCTTCACAGAAGGCACATTCTTACCTTGCCCCATAATTATTTGCTAGAAATTCTTCTCAGCAATCTCGTATTTATTATTTGGAAACTTGCCTGAAATTCTAGGTTCCTTACAACAATCATATAAATCAACCAACAATAAAATCAATAAAATAAAGATAAAAGAAGGCACTAAGTGAAGTGAGGGGTCTCATTCTTCCTCACCAAAGGCCTGGGTGAAGACCTAGCTCTTTTAAACAACATCAGAGTGAACAACATCCGGATTGTTTTCATTAAATAATAATTGTTTATGTTTGTATACATCCTGTTAAAAGCAGGATTTTGTTGCAGATGAAGGGGGAAATATTTCTGACTTCCTTTCTGTCGTGCTTTCTGCAGATGGTGCACTAATTAATGAGTTATATAGTTTGCTTCGAGATCAGGATCCCATTGTAGTGGTAAATTGTCTGAGGGCTCTTGAGGAAATTCTGGCACATGAAGGAGGAGTTGTCATCAACAAACCCATTGCCCACCATCTTCTTAACAGGTATATTCCCCTCCAAAATTCTTGAGTAAACTAGAGGTATCGCTCTCCACTGCCCTTTGTGTTTTGAATTGTGAAAACCATATCGTATCAAATTAATGCTAATATTTTCTGTATTAATTTATTGCATTTATAACCTATAACCTTTCTGCCAAAAAGGCAATCATTGCAGCTAACAACAATAATAAAAAATAAAAACAAACATTTAATTAAAATACACCATGAATTAATCAAAAATACTTTTGTGGGAGAATACCAGAATAGTTAAGTCTTTTTTCAAGAGATTGACAGAACAGCTGCTTGACCAGAAATAACCTACTAACAAGAAGGCAACTTCTCTCAGCAGGAAGTGCCTGACCTGGAACCCACCATTGAAAAGACCTTCATAATGTGATGTAACATTGTCCAAGGTCTTTTATTTTTACATAGTGGCAGCTGAAATAATTACTTCTTCTGAAGAATTGTTTCCTAGTTCTGGCTTTAAAGCATTTGAGTATTAATATAAAATACCCTATGCGATTATATACAGTTTAAATAAAATAACTGGTCAGCTTGTAAACCCAGTGCTCATAGATAATATATGATTGCTTATCTGATTTTTAGAGGCATACATAGCAGATATTATATTATTGTTATTAATACATTTTATCCTATTTTTTATTTATATCTATTGGACACAATCAAACAGATACAAATCTATGTATCTATTTGAGAATGTTAATGCACTCCATGTTCCTGCCTCCTTTCTTCCCCACAATAACAAGCCTGTGGGTTGGGTTTCTGCCACCTTTTATGCTTAGGGGGGATGATCTGTCATTCAAATATATATTTGTATTATTCTTTAAAATGTTGAAATCTCTGTAAGTCGAGGGCTAAGAAAAAATGTACTTGAAGTATATAGTTTAGTAGTATTTGGTCATATCCCTCCATTTCATCTTATTGATTCATATATTTAAGTGTAATACTGATGAAATAATGGGAAAAGTGGCCTGCAGGTTGGGAGAGAGAAGCTATAGCTTCCCTACATCACCATTTGGGTTTATTTTTCCCTCTTTGCAGGATGCCAGATCTGGATCAGTGGGGGCAGAGTGAGGTGTTGACTTTTCTGCTGCGATATAAACCCCACTGTGAAGAAGAGCTTTTTGATATCCTGAATTTACTTGATGGATACCTTAAAAACAGCAGTTCCAGTGTCGTGATGTCTGCCACAAAACTCTTCTTGGTGCTGGCTAGAGAATTCCCGCATGTCCAGGCAGATGTGCTTGTAAGAGTTAAAGGTCCACTCCTAACAGCATGCACATCTGGGAGTAGAGAACTCTGCTTCACTGCTTTGTGTCATGTACGGCAGATAATAGACAGCCTTCCTGGCCATTTCAGTAGCCAATATAAGAAGTTCTTCTGTTCTTACTCAGAACCACATTATATCAAGTGCCAGAAAATGGAAGTGCTGTGCAAGTTGGTGAATGATGAAAATGTTCAGCCTATATTGGAGGAATTGAGAGACTACTGCACTGATGTGTCAGCAGAGCTTGCCCGGGCAGCAATATTTGCCATAGGTAAGTGGACTGCTAGGATTCTAATGCAAGACCTCCAGCATGCAAATAAATGTACACCAATGTTGTAATGTCTATGTAAACAAAATATAAAACAGCACCCCTCTCCTCTGCAATTATATTGCAAATTCTGCATCTGTTAGCATTTCTTTTGGGTAGAAAAGGATATGACTGTCTTTGTAGGTGTGGGTAGGAAAGTCTTCTCCAGAACAAAAAATATGCTTCAAAGACAGAAACTGTCAGCACCTCTTCATTGAATAATTAGGAAAGAAAACCACGAGAGTCCATTGATAGAAATCAAGTGTACTTTTACTAATTATAAATGAATAGAAGCGTAGCAAAGCGAAGACTGATTATTTAGGCGCGAAAGCGAATGATATATATAATAACCCATTCCCCACCCCTTGGCATCCCAGTTACAGTCCAATCATAATTTTCCTAAGTGTCAGGTGTGAGATAACTTTGAAAGGCATCACCAAGATGGAATGTCGGTGCCGTTGGCCTTGGCGGGAACCTCCTCCGCATGCGCAATCCGACAGGCAACAGAACTCCAGAATCTTCCTCCAGCACAATTAGTAAACCCCTCCCAAATAGCATGCCCTCCCTCCCCGTTTCAATGGCAGCCGAAGCAGCAGCAAAACAGAGGCTGACAGAAGCAAAGTGTAGTCAAACTAGAAAATGAAGCAATTCTAAGTTAGTGCAGTCTTTTGAATATGTTTGCTATGATCCCTGCCAGCTAAGATATTTCTGAAAACACAGGTTACTACACTCATAATAACCAAGAAAGTATATTTGCTCAAAATTACCGTATTTTTCGGACTATAAGATGTACCGGACCATAAGGCACACCTAGGTTTAGAGGAGGAAAACAAGAAAAAAAATAGTTTTTTGCCTCAGCGCATCCCATTTTGCGTCCCATGCGTCGGGGAGGCTGAAAATGTGAACCACGCAGGCCAAAAATGAGCCCAGTTTGGGCCTGCAGAGTGCTTCTGGACTCCAGGGAGGCCAAAAACGAGCCTGTATTCGCTCTATAAGACACACAGACATTTCCACCCGCTTTTTGGGGGGAGGGGGGATGCGTCTTATAGTCTGAAAATTTAAAGAGCATGGCAGCTTTAGTCTTTATTTCATATCAAATGACTCCAAAATTTAAGAAATCTACTAGAGCTATTACTGTATTGAAAAATGCATATCAAGATGTATATTGTTTGCCTTATTTCCTAAATATTAATCACCTAATATTGTTTGCCTTATTGTAGTTTGATGTAGTGATTAAGGTCCTGGACTAGAAACTGAGAAATCAAAGTTCCCTTCCTTAAGTGGTCCAATAGCCTGGCTAGAATTTTCTCATGTATAATATTACTGTTTACCAAACTGTTCCATTTTGTCCTATTTTGCATTTCTGTACTGAGAACTACTAATATCTCTGTGTTGCTGGATCAGTCCTTCCAGGTTAAGGAATTATTAAGCAATCTTGAGAACTTTGGGTCATATGTGTAATATTTTCTTGTTGTTTTGCTATTGTTATTTTTTAGGAAATATTGCAAGAACCTACTCAGAACAATGTGTGAGGATTCTAACAGAACTCCTTGAACTGAAGCAAGAACATATAACATCAGGTATTATTCCGGATTTTCTGGTTTATATTTGATTTTCACCGTTGCAAGATTTAGCCTGTTTGATCAGATGTGACATACTTTCTTCTAAATTTAGAAGAAATCCAAAAGTTGCTTCCAAATGAGTAGGGGTAAATATATGGTACCAATTGGTGCCTCTTTAAAGAAACTGCCTATTTTCCTGGTTCACATAGAGGCCAAGGAAATAAATAATTTGTAATGAGGACAAGATGTAACAGGTCCTTTTCAGTGGGTGTGGAACGCTCTTATCATTTTCTTAATTAAGGAACTTCAACAAGTGTGGCAAGGACACTGACAGCTATTCCAAATCATCTTTTTTGTCTTTAAATCTGAAAAGCACAGTCCCATAATTATTGCTATGTTTAAATGACATAAATCTTTCATTTCTTTACTTGAGACACTGCCCCAAATCATGTGGGATACTAATATATCAGGTACCATATTCCCTTTTTAACCACTGAAGCTTTTAAGATTTTTTAAAGTAACGTTACTCACTTTGACTCCATTTTTCCCCCCTTGACAACTCTGAATTGGTAAGAGAAACTTAATCAATGTTGCTCAGTATGAATGAGAAAAACAATCTTTGCATCTTTGGGAGTTTCATCAATTTGTCATAGTTCCTGGATGACCAAGTGATTACTCAGTGCTAAGAGTGTTTTACATATCTAGCTATTCATTCTTGGACAGATCTGACCCCAGATCGTATGCTTTAGTCCCATCCAGATTAGGTTCCTGGTATTTATTTTCTAGAGTCTGCCTAGAAAGGTGTTCTTAACTAGCAGTGCTGCAAAGGTGTAACCTGTCATTCCCCCTCCCCCCCATGCTAACCTGTTTTAAAGTACCATGGGCTTCCATTTCAACTCTGAAAGCAATTCAGGATATTGGTATCACTTATAATTCTCCATAGAACTTCACATAACTTAGAATATTGGGAGACCTTTTTCCTTGTACACAATCCTCTCTATCAGCTATGCCATCTCCTCAATCACTGTTTTGCTTCTGGGAGGGTCAGGGAATCAGACATAGCCTTTTTAGTGGCAGCACCCTAATCATGGGTCTTCCTTCCAAGCAGGTCTAACATTTTATTGTATTTTAGGTAAATAGTGAAAATGCATTTTGCTAGAATTTTATTGCATTTTAATTTTATTAGCTGCAAATTCTATTTTAGCCACTCCTTAATGTGAAGCTTACTCCACTCGGGTTTTAATGGTGTTAAGATGTTATCACTTTGACCAAAGAGTGATATATATAAATATATTGTTATCTATTTCCCTACAGCGGTAGTACAGGTGTTCCGAGATCTGGTATGGTTGTGTCCACAGTGTATAGAGTGTGTGGCCCAGTCTTTGTCTGGCTGTGAAGAGATCATCCAGGACAGTGAGGTAACAAAGGATGCTTTTTGTAATGCAGATGACTCAAAACCCTTGAGTCCAATTCCAGAAGCAAAAATGCACCTTGTGATCTAGAGTTCTGTATGAAACCCTCATTTCTGGTATAGTACAGCTGGAGGTACTGCCTCTACCTGTACTATAATTCATTTCATAATTGTATCTGCCTCTCCTCTATTCTGTTGATGAAATCTAAAATTGAGGCTGAAAGTAAAAAAAAAAGTATATATTTACTATATATAAGTGAGTTTTTAGCGTAAGCAATCATAAAATCAAATACAGGTAGTTCTCAACTTAAAACCACAACTGAGCCCAAAATTTCTGTTATTAAATAAGACATTTGTTAAGTGAGTTTTGCCCCATTTCACAACCTTCCTTATCAGTTGTTAAGTGAAATACTGCAATTGGTAGGTTAGTAACCTGGTTGTTCAGTGAATCTCGCTTCCCCATTGGCTTTGCTTGTCTGAAGGTTGCAAAAGGTGATCACATGACTTTGGGACACAGCGACTGTCATAAATATGTTGCCAATTCAGTTGCCAAGAATCTGATTTTTAATTATATGATCATAGGGATGCTTCAAAAATTGTAATTGAAGAATGGTCATAAGTCATTTTTCCAGTGCCATTGTAACTTTGAACGGTCACTAAATGAACTGTTGTAAGTCAAGGGCTACCTGTAATAGTCTTAACATGGAGGTTCGGTATGTGAAGTATTCTCAACAGTACTGAATGCCAAATGTTTCCTTGGTTTAATTTTTTTAGGGAAAGCAAGCATTAATCTGGCTTCTGGGTGTGCATGGAGAAAGAGTTCCCAATGCCCCTTATATATTAGAAGATTTTGTGGAGAATGTAAAATCGGAACCATTCTCAGTTGTCAAGCTGGAACTACTGATGGCTGTGGCCCGGCTCTTCATAGCACGTCCTGCTGAATGTCAGGATACTCTGGGTCGATTACTTTATTATTGCATTGGTAAGTCTGTTACTTCTATGGCGGTTGCTATAGCGTGAATTAGATGAAAGACAACAGTTATGTCCTGTTTCCCCGAAAATAAGACCTTCCCAGATAATAAGCCCAAACGGGTTTTTGAGCACATGCACTAAAATGAGCCCTCTCCCAAAAATAAGCCCTTCCCAAAAATATTGCAACACAGCAGCAACCATGAGGTGACCATGCACACCGTCTCCTGCACCTCAAAAATAACAAGACCTCCCCGAAAATAAGTCCAAGTGCTTATTTCGGGGGTCAAAAGAAAATAAGACCCGTATTTGTGTGTGCTGTTCTACAGTAACTACCATGTTTCCCCAAAAATAAGACCCTGTAATAAGACCCTGAGCCGCATGATCATCGGAAGCTCTTTTTTCCCCTCTTTTTAAAGCATTTTTTTCTTGCCTATTTGCCCGAACCAGCAGGAAAAAAAATGCTTTAAAAAGTGTGTGTGGGGTGGGGGTGGGGGGGACATTCAGACACACGATCCTCTGAAGTTTTTTTTTTTTTACTACTGATTCTCAGAACAAGGACAATTGTCCCTACTGGTTTGGCTGAACTGGG